GAGAGGCGGGTCGACGCTGTTGTCACGCAGTGGAAGTGCGCTGCCGGAATCGCCCGTAGCAATCATGGTGGCCATGGGCTGGTGCATGCCGTTGTAGAGAGTCATGCGCACGTCCTTCTGCCTGCGGTGCGCCGGCGACGCCAACTCAACGGCCCCCATCACCGGGTGCTCGCCGCTGCATGGGGTGTACGTTGTGTGGTACACTGCATTGAGAACCCCCACCGACTGCCAGAAATCCTCCATGGGGGCATGCAAGAGTTTCACGTTGCTGCTCCGCACCGGCCGCGGCGTTACTGCGAACTCCGCGAGGCTGTGCAGAAGCGCGTGAAAGTACATACCGGGGACAGCGCTGTGGTGAAACGGCAAGCGCTGGAAGGGCATGAGGTTTGGCTGCACGAGAAAATTTACCGACAGCGCTGGTCCCGAGAGCGTCTGGTACGGCTGTGCAGCAGCAACGAGCAGCTTCCATGGAAGCTCCACCGCAGTATCCTTCAGTGGGCGAAGACCAGACGCCATACTTCTTCCACCCTTAATGTTGTTGAAGTTGGTGTTTGACCAAAAAGGCAGATAATGGGGAAGGGGGTGTCAGCACGCCACAACAACAACAAAACCTTAACAGACGCCCTGCATTGCGTCCCACGCCACCGAGCCCGTTCTTCCGCCCACGCGCAAACGTCTTTCATACTCTGTGTACGTGTGGGCACGCGTGAAATAAAAAGCAGTCACCACCACCACCGCCACAACAACAACAAAAACAACAACAAATGCGCGCGTACACGCCAAGACCGCACATTGAAGTTTCCAGCTTCGCCAATAGGGCGAGAAGGAGGAGTCCACGGTGCACCCGCAGTGATGAGTCAGCAACAAAGCAGAGCCGCAAATGGGCAACCAAAATAATAATAATAATAATAAACAGTCGAAACAAAAAAGGAAAACGAGAATCAAACGAAAAAAAAGACACACTGCACAGAAAGCCTTGTGGTGTTCTCACAGCTTGTCAGTTGTAGCGAAACTTCATGAGAACCAGGTACCTCATTATGCATTGCCCAACGTCGTAGACGATGTGCTCGGGGTAGATCAGCGATGTCTTCATGTTGTCATCCACCCGCATGCAGCCCTTCGGCCATAGCACACCGTCTACTGTCTCCGCGCCAGCTGGATCCGGGTACATTCGCCCCACGCCCTTTGTGGCACTGGTCCCCGGCTGCGGCTTCTCCATGTAGTGGGCATTATAGTACTCCTTCTGAGTCCCCAGCGCGGCCTCGCACAGAAGCATCACGCCGACGTCAGTTTCCTGTTCTGGGTGACAGTAGTTAGCCGACTTGGAGCACACATCAGCGAGGTAGATGCCTTTGCCGAACATATACCCTGTGCACGGCGCCTCCGGTGGGGCAATCCGCAGGCCTTGCGAGAGGATGCCCATGAAATTGGTGACGCGCGAGCCGTGCCAAAGCATCTGCCGGTTGCCAAGCTTCTTATACGCCTCGTACCGCTTCTCCTCGCCCTCACGCCGGATCATGAACACCTCCATGACATCGAGGTTGTATGAGTTGTGCGTAGAGCCCTGCGTATTACGTGCGTACTCGACAATGCGCTTGTACGCAGCGTCGTCGTGGGGCAGTGGGCATATATCGCACTTGAGGCTCTTGTACGCCCGGTCGAGCGGATGAGCATCGTCTCCCTCGCCCGTGTCAAGGAGCTTCGCCGCAATCTCGAGTTCGCCCAGCACCTCCAGCATCTCCATCTTGTTCTTCAGCATGTGAAGTGTGCCAATGACCGGCGGCTTACGGTTTCCAAAGACGTGCGGGATGAGTGTGTAGAACTGGCCCGACAGCGCCTCCAGTTGTGGCTCTGGCTTCTGTAACTCCGCCTCCACCGCCTTGAGAACCTCGTACGCACGCAGGATCTGTGGCTTGGAGATTTTACCCAGCGGCATCTGCTCCGTGTTGATCTCAAGCTCCTTCATTGCCCGCGTCATGGTGTCCTTGCAGCCGATAAGTCGCATGAGTTCTTGCACCTCCTTCGGCAGAGCCGACCCCACTACCATCTCCTTCGCCTCCTCCTTCACCTTCTTTTTCAGCCGCTGGACCCCCTCCGACTTCTCCTCGGCGTCCTGTGCCCCGTATTCGATGTCCATCAAGTAGTACCGCCCATCTATTTTTTTGAAATTTGCACGGTCCTCCCAGCGATTGTGGGTCTTACTATAGAATGTCTTGCAAAACACCTGCACCGCAGCGCTGGTACTGCTGAACAGTTCCGTCTTGTGCTGCCCGGAGAGACCGACGCGGCCCCACCGTGTGAAGACGTAGTACTGACCGCCGCTGTCCGCCTCCAGGAGTTGCAGGATGTAATATTTGTTGTTATTCGAGGAGATGTTGGTCTGGTTTAATGTACACTGGTACAAGTCACCGCCATCTTCATACACGTGGCATGTATCAACCTTACCCGAGAATGCATCCACAACACCACGTCCTTTCTGCAGCAAACGCTGACGCTTCCCGCCGGTTTTGTCGATAGGTGGCCCCGCAGGAACCCCCGCCGCGGCAGTGGACGCAACAGAGGGCGGAGCCGCAACCGTTACTGTTGTCACCGCCACCGCTGGAAGCAGTGATGTGGAAGGCGCAGGAGCCTTCTTGGATGGTGCCTTCTTTGTAGCAGGCGCAGGAGTCTTCTTGGGTGGTGCCTTCTTTGTAGCAGGCGCAGGAGCCCTCTTGGGTGGTGCCTTCTTTGTAGCAGGCGCAGGAGCCCTCTTGGGTGGCATATTTTTTTTTTGTGAAAAATTCTTGTGCACCACCAACAGAGGGGGAGAGAAAAGATGTGCGATGACAGCCGCGACATGCAGATTCGCGTCCAGCACACCCATGCGTGGGGTGAAAGCAAGAAACAGAAATCAACGATAGGCACGCCTCCCGCTCCAACAACTTTTTCGCTTTATTGCCATTCTTCCACGGGGGCGAGGGGGAGAAATTGTAATGTATGGTCACACGATGCAGCGCTTGAACGCTTCTTCCCGTAATGCGAGGTTCTGCGAGGTGAGGACAATCACCTGCGCCTGCAAGTCAGCGATGGTCTGGCGCAGTTGATACGTGTTTCGGCGCTCCGCCGCGAGCAGCAGGCACCACTGCGCCCGCTCCTCCGCTCGGTTGCGGCGCACAGTCTGAAGGGTGGTGTGCGACTCCTCCAGTTGCGTTTGCACCTCCATCAGCCTCATTGCGGTGTTATTGTTCTCGTGGCTGTTGCTGCGACCGCGGCAACCGGGTCCCACAGCGGCGGCAGTAACATCGGGTGCTGTTCTGATTCTCGCTCTTGTCTCCTCCACTATTGCAGGGGCAGGGGAAGGAACAGAAGGGACATTCTCGGTATCCTCGTCGTCGCTGTAGTCAATGCCACTGCCCCACATGGCGTGCGTAGCGTCCAGCAGCCCGTCATCCAACGGCAGCGCGGCCTCCCACATGGCGGTGGTGCCCTCTGCATTCGTTGCTGTGTGTGCAGCGGCGGGCACCACGAAAATATCTTCACTGTTGGCGGAAACAAACGGTGTGGGCTTGCTTGGCTCACGCTCCCTCCCCACAGCAGGCACGTTACCAACGCTTCCAAGGCACCAGTGGAGCGTACTGGCCATTGTTCGCTGGAAACCCTTTGGCCGCTCCAGCCGGTACGCCGCCGCGCTAATCATCTCTGTTTCCTCCACAATTTGCAACTCATTTCTGCCGTTGTTGTTTGCATCGTTTCGGGCGGCAGTCTGCAGGGCCGCAACGAGTGCCGCCACCTCCGCGACGGTGCCGACGCCCAGCAGCATGTCGTACTCGTCGGGGATCTTCAGTCCGATATGCGGGCCGCCCTCGCCACTCCACGTGTGCACCGCCGCAATGGCGTGCACCGCGACGCAGCGCTGGATGCTGCCGTTCTCCATGCAGGAATATACGTGCGCCGGCGCCACGACGATGATGCGCCGCTGACGTTTGCCACGACGATTGATTTTAGTCACCTCTGCTAGATGCAGAATCGGCACATCCTGGAGGCAGCGGAAGGCACTCGCCAGGCTGCGCGGCAGCACGACGAGATCGGCGGGTGTCTGGGGCATTCTCACTCCCCTTCGCTCCCCACTGGGCAGCCACCGGTACGCACAGAAGGAAAGAAAGAGAGAGAGAGCAAGAGAGAAGTAAGAGAATAGAAAAAAGAAAAGCAACACCCGCGATATGTGGTAGCGTCACATCAGCGATGGGGGATACCCCCCTTTCCCATACGCAGAGGTCTTCTCTGTGCCCCACCCCCCACCATACCCCAGACACGCACTCCCTTACCTTCCTCTCCCGCCACTGCAGCATTTATGTGTGCGTCGGCACCAGCGTCACGTCGGCGGAGGGATTGAGGTTCATGTTTTCCAGGTCCTCAATGGCGATGGAGATGATCTCCTCCACGTCGCGGTTGATGCGCCCGCCGTTTGGGTCCCGCACGCGACCGTACTTGACGTTCAGCAGCTGCATCAGCACCTCCTTGCGCAGCTGGTCGGGTTCGGCGACATAGTTCTGCAGGTACGCCCCACTTGTATACTTGAGTATCTGCGTTATCTCCAGCGGCACGAGCCAGTCGGCGGGGTAGTAGTGGCGCGTCTGCTCCCACAGCAGCGGCAGGTCGTCGTGCGGCGCCCGTCCCTCACGCAGCAGTACGCTGCGCTGGTGCAGCAGAGGCCACGGTGGGCGACGTGGATCGTTCTTGCGCCGCTTCTCAGCCTCGAGCTCGTCCGGCAGCTCAAGCGGGCCGGCCTTCTTTGTCTCCTTCACCGAGAACACCGATAGGAACGCGATGGACGCGATGAAGCTGAACAGGAAGAGCGACTTTAGCGTGTACGGCTCGAGCGGCTGCCCCTCAGTGCCAAAGAATTCCTTTGCACTCACAAGGCGGATACGAGACCGGCGCAACATCTGTATGTGTTTACTATACTTCCTTGCGATGCCGTTTTGCGGTCTACCTGCTACAGGCCTATTCCTAACTCCTGCCGCACCCGTGCGGGGTGTCCAGAGGGGGGAAGGGAGAGGGGGACCGT